ACTATATGCCATTTCATAGCAAGTAAATAGAAACTATATCGAAAAACTTCGTAGCTAGCTAGCTAGTCGATCTCTGCATATACGGATAATAACACAGTAGCACATCATCTCTCAGGTCCATCGTAAGTTAGTCATGAATGCATGGTTCATGAGCACGGCTCCATGGTCGAGGGAGAAGACTAGACGTACGGCCCGGCAGCGAGATCAGTTGCCGGCGCCCCAGAGGAAGGCGCCCATGGCGAAGCTGCGCTTCTGGTGGACGCTGCCGTGGACGGGGAGGCCGTAGTCGGAGAGGAGGCGGTCGAGCTGCCACTCGGGCATGGCCTCGTAGTTGGCCCTGGTGTACCTCGGGTAGTGCAGCGGCATCTGGAAGCGGCGCGCGCCCCCGCACCCGGCGCCCTGCTGCTCCCTGTCCCCGTACCTCGCCGCCGCCTGGCCCTCCCCGCCGCCGTTCGCCACCATCGTCTCCATGCACGTCCTACCTCGAGATCGGGCTAGGAGGCTTTGTAAGGGGTGGCGGTGATGTGGCTGCGTCGCCCTGCCGTCTTTGATCGAAGGTCTGAGCTCGCTGGGCAACGAAGCGGGCCGGGCGACCGCCTTTTATAGCGCCGGGCGGGAGCCGCGCGCCATGGGAAATATCAGACGGAGAGTTCGGTTGGTTTGTCACGAGGAATGCAGCTGAGCCAGCTATGACTCTGTGGCCCGTGTGGCCGGTGTGGAGACCCAGTACGTGTGCCAGTGTGTGTTCGACGGGCAGTTGGCAGGCGCACGGGCGGGCGTCCCACGCCCGTGCCTCGGCAGTTGACACCCGCGTATGCATGCATGTCAACGACGCCCTGCGCCGTCCGTTGCGAACTTGCGCGGGAAAAGGTGGCGGAAATGGCCAGCGCGGCATAGCAGGCCCGCCTTTTGGACTGGCGGCTGGGCGTGCTTGTTTAGTTGAGCCGGCCAGGCACGACTCGCTCTGGCTCGCACCAAATGATCGATCTGACGGGTGTTACGAGGGTTTACGGGCGTGGTGCGGGAGACCTTGCGTTTCTCGCCCATCTAGTGCTTGATCCAGCTTTCTTGTCGAGGACCTCTTTCTTGCGGATATTGTCGAGGACCTCTTTTTTGTAGGGACGGAAACGTGCAGTAACAACGTAGAGTACATGATCGAGCAGGTCGAGCGGCACTTGTTTCATGGCCCAACTAATCGTCATGCAGGGCTGTAGGCATGCATGGACCGGCTCGTATCAGGTGGATTGTAGGTGTAGCTGATGCCAATTTTGCGGGCTTTGCTACACCTACGAACGGATTATTACGTTCTTGACGTAATTGCTGATCTGGCAGCTTTTGATTTGTATTTGTTTGCCGCACGGGCCCACCCTAGAATCAGGGGGGCGGTAGTTTGATTGATGTTTTGGAAAGTTACGTAGGGTACGTGGCACCTCTTCGTAGGTGTAGCATTTTCGCAATTTTGCCGAGCCGTGAGAGAGAAACAAAACAGTGTATATCCGTTAGCCTAGTGACTACCCCATTCTTAGGAGCTCTTTTCTACGGAGGCACAAAAAATAATGACCGAGAGAGCTCAGATTACTTGTGTAAAATATTATCCAGAACCTACTTTGCGAAGATGCCGTCTCTCCAACCAGCGTACTGTGCGTACATTGCTCTGACCGATCGATGCAGATGAAACGATCATCGTAAGCGTTGAAAACTTTGAAAACTAACGTCCTTTCGTTGTACTACTGCTACTTCTGGTTGTGGAAAACAAGGGGGCGAAAGCAACGGAAAGGTCGAGAAAGGGCGCGCTGGTCTCCACATACGGCAGACGACACCAAACAAAACCTGAGCCGGCCAACCAAATCGGTTAGTCCTCCACAGGCTGACAGGCACGGCGAAGAACACACCGGCCAGCCAGCGACATGGTGCGTGAGCGCGCGACGGCCCGTGACACAACCGGCACCTTTGACGAGAAGGGAGGGCTGCTCAGGCGCCACGCAGAAAGGAGCGCACCGGTACCACGCCGTCGCAAGCGAGAACAGCTGCCTCGCGAGTCAGAAGCCTTCCTCGCCGATGGTTTCTCAACTAGAGGCGCGCGCGCACGGGAGAAAGGCAGCCCAGATGCTGAAACACTGGGAATATACCAAAGTAAGGGGACGTGGAGTATCTGCTCTCGAACTCAAATCAGTAAAAGCGAAAAAATAGTAAAAAAAATAATTTTGGAATTGTTTTGTGGTAAACTTTGACAAATGTTTTATATGCTTGTAAAATTTCAGCACGAAATGACATTTGTGGAAGTCGTGGCAAAAAAAAAAACAAAAACAAAAATCAATGCTTCAAAAATGTTAGTTTCGAAAACATTTTGAAGTGCTGATTTTGTTTTTTTTTGCCACGACTTTCAGGAATATCATTTCGTGCTGAAATTTGGCGAACATACAAAACATATTTCAAAGTTTATCCCCAAAAAATTTAAGATTTTTTTTGAGTTCTTTACTTTTTTTATTTTACCGTTCACCAAGGTGTGTATTTGAGCTCGGGATCATAATATGACTTTTGAAAGTAAAGCTGCTTCCTAATCAAGGCAAAAACAATGGGAGATGGTTTGTGCCACACAGGTGCGGGAACTCCGCACCATCTCTCGTGCTTTTCTTTTTTGAAATTTCAAATTTGGATATATTATATGTGTTGAATCAAAAGTTTAATTTATGTTTCATTTGCATATTTGGATTCCTTGCGATGGGGATTTGAAATAAAACCACTTTTGAATATGTTTTAACATGTTTTGAAAACTTCACTCAGTTTCATCTGCTAAAACTTAATAGGAACAAGCGGCAAATTCAACAAGTTTCAGGAGGTAAAACTTAAAACAACATAGAGAACTGCAAGAAATCAAACAAGTTTGCCAATCGCGAGACTATTAGGAGCCGGGCGCGACCGGGCAGGTGCGTGCCCCTGCAAAATTTTAAAACAACACGAATAACTGCAAGAAATCAAACGAGTTTGCCAATCACGAGACTATTAGGAGCCAGGCGCGACCGGGCAGGTGCGTCCCCCAGCAAATTTTCACAGGAACAACCTGTAGCCAACGTAGTTGCGAGGTCCCACAACTAGGAGCAAGTATGATAAAGCGTGATAAGCCTACCTACATGAAATTTTTGTTTATGTGAAGGACATGGACAAAGAATTATTTTTTGAAATGAATTCTAGTGCAAGAGTGAGTCTCTACACTAAACAAAGAGAAAATAGGAAGGAGAGAACGCGAAAAGAATGACTAACCTAATTTCTGTGATTAATAATGATGTCTCTTGATGCCATATCACTATCGTCTTCATGGCCACACCTGTGTCGACTATATTATTAGTCATGCTCTATGATGGTGTGTATCCACTGGTAAGGGGTGGATTTTGGTTTTAATGGTATATTGCAACTCGATGTAATTGGGATGTTTGTTTTTGGGAAGCACAACTGGAGAAATTCAATATGGACGACTTTGTAGCTAAATGACAGTTGACACATACAATTCGTCTAGTTACTTCTCATTAGTTTCCATAACACTGCTGCACTTCTTTCCGATAAAACATTATTGCAAAAATGTGCTAGGCCATGTTTAAAAGCAAAAAAGAAAGAATTTCCTTTGGGTACCATGGCTTCTAAGAAATTTTGGTTCTAAATACTCCAAAGAGTTTTGATCCAATTAATCTACT